GTGTGTGTGTGTGTGTGTGTGTGTGTGTGTGTGTACGCATGTGTCTTTGTGCATTTCCCTGGGTCCTTCCATACCTTCTGATATATGTTAGAAGTTATGTGGATGTTTCTGTCTTGATCTTGCTCGCCCCTCCCCCACATCCACCATGTCTAGATTTCTGTAAAGTAGAGCCACTCCTCTGCAGCCCCCAAGTTTGGGTCCTTGCCCCCCATTTTCAGATCATTCCTCCATTCTTCCCCAACTCTTCACCCCTTCCTTCCTTCACTCAGCCCAGAAGCTCAGGAGGGCTTCTCAGACACTGACATCCCAAGAATTTCAGCCAGCATGGGGTGGAGTAGGGGACAGCAAGGTGGAAGCCAGGCACCCAGGGTGATAGGCTTGGTCATTCCACAACCTGGATCATGCCTGCACGGAATCTGAATTTCTGGCTCTGTTTCCGCCTCTCTTCGTCTCAGTTCCCTACCTGGGTCTGCGCGTTCACACACACCCCACCTCTCAGAGATGTGATGCGCCCTTCATATCCTGCTGCCTCTAGGGGCTTCTGGAAAAAAGCTGGACTGGGGACAGAATCCTGGAATCGGTAGAGGAGGGAGGTGGCAGGAAAGAAAGAACATGGAGAGACAGAGCTGGAAAAGGCATTGCTGAGATGGGACCCTGGAGGGTATGCCTGGTGCTTGCTCTGAGTTATTTGTATAAATCTGTCTCTGTCTTTGTTTCTGAATCTCTCATACTCTCCAAGAGGGCAGCAGGAGAAGCTGGGGTCCGGTGGAGTAGTGATCCAAGCTGAAGATTTGGAAAGCCAGGAGAGGGGGGACAGAGCACTCTGTCTTTTCCCTGAGAAGATTTGGAAGAGAAAAACAGGCCAGGGGCTTGGGGACCCTGCAGCTCACCGTCCCCCCATCTTTCCCTTCCCCCCAACTGGTGACTCACCTCTGCAGCCTTTCATTGCGTCAGCGATGGGGGGACAGGCAGGGAGGGGGCACTTTATGAGAGGGGAAGGGGTCTCCACTTAGAACTGAAAGAAGGCACAGGAAGTCCCCCTGAAAATGGCCCCATTAGAAAACATCATTGCCCTATCCCCTGCCCACCCCAGTTCAGTAGGGTGGAGGGTGGGGAGTCCTGGGGAGGGGACTGAGAGGGGGCTGAGGGCCACTGGTGGGACTGGGGATGATGAGTGATAGGAAGGGGGTGCTCACCCTGATTTTCAGTTCCGGGGTCCCATTCCCTCATACCCCCACCCACTCCTGAGTGGGGGATGGGAGACCCAGCAAGCCGGGGGAGGGCAAAGCCGCAGAGATGAGTCACCAAGAGAATGAGAGAGAGAGAGAGAAAGAGACAGAGATGAGGGGAGACACAAAGAGAGACAGCTTCTGGAGAGACTGAGAAGGGAAAACACACACACCATAAAGATGATATCCACAAACTAATCAGAGAAAGCACGTTACTTTCATAATCCTGAACCAGCCTCCTCCAACACCCACCGGTCACATACAAACATACTATTATTCAGAGTGACACTGATATTCTGAGACACACCCACTTACACAAACACAGTATCACACCTAGCCTCGGCAGTGTCACTCAGACACATGCTAAGATGTGACCAGGGTAATGGAGATTTGCGTTGAGAGCCCTCGTTTCTTTTACATGGGATGGTGGGAGGGGGCAAAAACCCTGAGGGAATGTGACTTCACAAATCCAAGATGCGGCTTCAGGGACTCGCAGGCTATGCCTTGCACACACCACGATACACAGTTGCCTACCTCCCCATCCACACATACATAGTAACATATCAAGCATCCTCCTCATCAAAAAGCCACTTGGAGTACCTGATCCTGGGGTACACCAGGCACGTTGTCCCGAATACATCCCACCCGGACACCCTCTGACTTGTACACACATGTACAGAAACGCAGACACACAAAGACTCCCATGGACACACTCACACGGACGGAAACCACCTTGCGCTGCCTCGCCCGCGTCCACACGTCCTGGCGCCCCCTCGCGTTACTTTTCGGAGTCGCAGTCTCCGGCGCTCTGGAGATCGGCTCCCGGGGGGGCGGTGCCCAAGCTCCCTCCACCTCCTCCCCCTTCCGCGCGTTGCCCACCCAGGAATCCGGAAAGCCAGCGCGCTGGCCCAGAGAGCTGGGAGTTAGACGCCTGGATGGTGGGGCTGAGGGAGGCCGGTCCTGGATGCCAAGGGGAACTTGGGAGAAAAGCCCATAGAATTTGGATAGCAGCGGACTCCCAGGCCCAGGGGAAAGCGAGACCCAGGCTTGTCAGGGCGCCGCGCAGCTGCCCGCCTCGCTTCTGAGCAACCGCTTCTTTCCGCCGCTTGGCTGGGGTGGGGGTGGGGGCGCGCAACGGCCAGCAGCCCTCTCCAGCTCCAGGAAGTCATTAGCCCCATTGCCACAGGGCTTAGAGATCCTCTCTAATACAGGCTGCTGGGGAAGGGGGAAGGATAATGCGCCTCATCCCTCCCCCGCTGAGAAGTGAAACAGACACAGAGGGTGGGCTAAGGGTCCTTTTTATTGTAATACAGCCACGGCTGAAGTGACAGGGAGGGTGGCAGCATGGCCAGGCGCTGAAGGCAGACAAGCAAGGCAGTGTAGCACAACAGCAAAACCGGAACTGGGGGAAGTGATGGAGCAGCGGCTGTCCTCTGTGCCCACCTTCTTCCACCTCCTGGCGCCCTCCTCTGCCCACGTCTCTGATTCCATCCCCAGCGACCCCTGTGCTTACTGTCAACAAATCCCTAGCAACTGTCCATCGTCCAACAAGAAGTTCAAACAGTCACCGCCACAACGAGTGAGGTTCTGAGGCATGCTCTGGCTTGGGACAGACCTGAACTCCAGTCCCTGCCAGGCTCCCAGCTACTCTGAATGACTTGGAAGTCACTTTGATCTTTCTGAGCCTGTTTCCTCCCTCGGTGGTAGATGTGAGGATCCAGTGTAGAAGACAGCGCTGTGCAATTGCAGCTGTTACTACTTGCATTGAAATAGAAAACTGCCAAAGTCCAAAAAAAAACCCCATAAAGGAACCAGAGGAAGGGAGGGATGTCCAGAAATATCTGGAGGCAGGGGTTCCAGTTGCACTAGAAGGAAGCCTGGTTAGAGCCAGAAGATAGCCCCATACTGGGCTGAGGAAACTGCCCTTCCCAGCTCAAGCCCCCTGTTTCATATCCTGGTTCAGGCACTGGTTGGGGATATAGGAAGGGGGCCTGGGAAATAGCAACATCGTGCAAAGTTGGACGAACCCCATCGGGGGGGGGGGCAGGCTTGTAAAGAT